CTGAGAAACATAGACAGCTTATGTAACCCCAAATTTTTAATATTTATTGAAAACTAGGGTAACAGTTGCCGCAGAAGCTGTGCTGTTGCCTCGAAGCAAGAATGTCACAGGTTCAAAAACCAACTGAGACCCTTCTGCGCTGAATGTGCATGTTCTAAAGTGTGCTTATGACTTAATACAGTGGGCTGCATGGTGGCGCAGTGGTTAGCACTGTTGCCTCGCAGCACGAAGGTTGCAGGTTCGAATCTCGGCTCGGCTGCGGCCTTTCTGCGTGGAGTTGCGTGTTCTCCCCATGCATGCGTGGGTTTCCTCTGGGTACTCCGGTTTCCTCCACAGATCACAACATGCCCTATAGGTTATAAATTGTAAGTCGCTTTGGATAAAAGCGTCTGCTAAGCGAATAAACATAAACATACCCAGTTACAAGATCTTTTTCCTTCAACTTGAACAAGTGTTATGAGGGAACACGGAACGGAAGACCATAGAGCGAGGTGGTACAGGCATTAGAAACCAGGACCTCTCTGAGAGAGGTGTGAAAGAAGGCAAGGGACACTGACAAGGATGGGAGAGTGGAAGAAGTAGGGGCACCAAGAGGGAGGAGTCACATGAGTGTGCTTCACTGCAGTATTTCATCTGTTAGCAAGGAAGTCTCTGCATTTGCCTCACTTTCTCGCTAGCCACATGAATGCTGAGTCAGCAGGGGTCCTAATGAAACTGTTCCTAAAGCTGTATATCTGTGCACATGATTGTAACAAGGGTACACACATCTGTTGTGTGTGTGTGTGTGTGTGTGTGTGTGTGTGAGAGAGAGAGAGAGAGAAGTTGGAGATGTGGAAGGTAAAGAAGTGTGTGTGTGTGTGTGTGTAGTGCAGAAATGCAGGCCTGTGAAGTGGTGCAGCAGCAGTGGGAAGGGAGCCAGAAGCACTCGACTGCAGAGGAGAGATTGGTGCAGAGTCCCATTGCACACACAAACACACTCTCCCTTATTCAGAAAGGATATCATCAGCGGAGTGGTGGTGGGGGAGGTGTTATCCCATTCTGAGAGAAAAAAGTTTTCACGTACGTCTGTGTGTGTGTGGTGGTAGTGGTGGGGAGTGATACTTGACAAACCTAAACAATTATTTAATCTAATATTTGGTAGTTTAGTCATTTAGAAGTTTAATGCAAAGACATGGGTCGAACTGAGTTAGTTTGAATGGCTCAGCAAAAGAAAAAACTACCTTTACATCCAGGTGTCACAAGAGAAAGATTCACTTTTTTGCTAAATGTTACATTAAAAAAACCTTCCAGAATGGCAAATGTGGAAATAGCCGAAAGGAAAACTTTTGTTAACACATATATGGTTCTGTGGAGATCAGCTGACCGACTGCATTTTCACACCTGGACCTGGACCTGGCCCAGTCCGGTTTTGGTAGCATTGGCCCCCCCCCCCCCCCCCCACCCCCACCCCCCACCCCCCCCGACCCTTCTTAGGAACACTGATGTCTCCAAGCACGTGGGTGGAGCAAAAGACGCACAAAGTCATGCTGTGTCCTCCTCAAGTTAGTAAACAAAGGCAGTCGTGAGTAGTGTTGTTATGGAGACTCTGATATGAAGCACATTGCTTCCTACTCTCTCATCCCTACTTCACACTGGAAGCATCAGCGGCATAGAATGGCAGCATAACGTTACTGCTTCAGATAGAATCCCTTATAGTAGTGGAAGTTGATTAAACCATGACGTGAACATTTTCAGCCACGTCCCAGAAGTGGCTTGATGCCACACCGTGCCATGCTGCGCTATGCCGCACTACGCCGCTAAAGATAGGATCAGGTTCTATTTTTGCCGGGAGTCACTTCTGGGACACATACATTACACGCGGTTTCAGTGTAAAACCTCAGTTCATTTTCTAAATAAAGACTATTGCAGTGATGCAATTTCATATCTATGTAGTTTACATCTATACATGTGACCTAATGGCTTATTTACTCCTAGCCTTGTTGGAGAAGTTCAACTATGTTTTTTCATGGTTTTCATCCTGGCAGTGGAGAGGACAACATCACATATGACACCCAACAGCGATATCAAACGTGATTTATTTGTTTTGGGTTTACTGGCAGACGAACATAAGCAAACCCTGACCTTTGAAGTTTCGAGAGATTTTGTAATCTTGTGAGTTAATTGAGGGGGATGGCTGAAGCCTCAAGGGATTTTGTGATCTTGCGAATCCAGCAAGGAGCACGGCAGAGAAGCCGTTCCTTGGCTGAGATTCTCCCGGTGTGTACCGGCATGCAGCGAGTCTCGAGAGTAAACCATTGCACTGCCGTTCTGCACCGCTGATGCCTCCAGTATAAAGGAGGGGTCACTGAGACTGAAGTATATTCCTCACAGAAGTCTGTCTTTGCGCTCCAGTGGCTAGAGCGGCAGGTCCGAGCTGCAGTCAGAGTAGATGTTTACTCCACAGCACCCAGACTGATAATGAATCATGCATAGAGAAAGGTGCTACTGGCTGTTTCTACCTACCAATCTGAGGCTCCCTCTATTGGTAGGCATGAACTTCAACCAATCAGTTGGTAGTGGGTATGTTGGGTCGGCTGAGCATAAAGCAGACTGTCCTAATATATCAACATTCGAGGTGCCCCTCTGTCATCTAGGTACAAAATTTTTAGGAAACTTCCATCAGACCTGACCTATGGATGCACCTCATGAACTGCACATTGCATTTGCTGCTGGTGGCATTCATGTTTGTAAAAAGTTATAAAACTCCATGAAATAACAGTGAAGTGTTAAAAAACAGTTATGTAAAGGTTTATAAAATGAAGTTATGCTTTTATGACATTTTGAAGAAATCTTACAGGTTTTGCCCATTGCCTGAACACATTTTGCAAAACTTGGCTTATTGTGCCAAAACTCTACACACAAGTACACATAACACAACACTGGCAAATATGCCATTCACATCTGTGTCAAATTGAAACTTGACTATCAAAACCTAAACTCTGCTATCAAAACTTATTCCTTTGTCAAAATGAAACTCTGACGACAAAGTGATACACACTTGCATCATGTGAATACACTTTCAGATTGGAAGCAACACACTAGAGTACTTTATATAAACAGTGCAGTCTTTCATTCTCACTGTTTTATATTCTGTTCATCAGTTAGCTTTCTGTGAAGCTCAATGGAACACTGTTTTTGTTCACAACAAAGGTTTCCCCAACAATCAAAAATGAACGTACTGAAAGGTTACAAACAATATCAACTCAATACTGCACATCACAGTACTACAGTATACTTTACAGTACAGTACAGTACATGCAGTAACAAAAAAAACACACTACAGTAAATAAAGGAAAAAGTAGGCAATTGGGCATGTGTGGGATTATGGATCCCGCCGTCGGTTTGGGTCTGGCCACATGATCTCGTCAACCAACACATTCTCACACCCTAAGCGTCGGAAACAAACGCTTGGTCAGCCACCCTCCACGTCAGACCCCAGACGCCAATAGTGCCCTTTTTCGTTACTTATGTACGAAAAGGGGTTTTTCCCTTTTGTAACTGCAGATCCCAATGCAGCATAAAACTGACGTGATTAGATATCCGCTGATGCGGCACCGAACCAGCTCGTTTAACCGCACCTAAACCTTAACGTTTCACTATTTATAACCTTCCCCTCTCCCTCATCCTAACCTTAACCCTCTTGCTACTTAAAACGTTACTCTCACTGTGATCAAGCGTTTGTTTCCCATGCATTCTGACTCTGACAGTCAGTCTGACTGTGAATTTTTGTATTTGCCGCCCAAGGGAAACGTTAGAACATACCATCTGGCGAGGGGGAGGTTACACATACCCTCTACTTTTAACCTCCACCTTGGTAGTTGAAACCTCCCCCTCGCGTTGGCTCAGTCCAAACTCGACCAATGACGAGGGGGACTCCCGCCGTTCACTTCATAGAGCCGGCTTTTAGAGTGATCGACACATCACTAACATGTTCACTAGCAAGATGGTTAAGGTTAGGATAGGGGTGAGGGGAAGGTTAAATAAGAGGATAAGGTTAAATAAGAGGATAAGGTTAGGGTGAGGTACAATGAGCTTGTTTGGTGCCCTGGCTGCGGACATCCCATCGCGTCAGTGTAACGCTGCATTGGGATGCAACGGTAGCGGACATCCCATCACGTCAGTTTTACGCTGCATTGGGATCTGCAGTCAAATAAGGGGAAAACCCCTTGTCGCACTTAACGAAAAAGGGCACTTTTGGCGTCAGGGGTCTGACGTGGAGGGTGGCTGACCAAGCGTTTGTTTTTGACGCGCTGGGAGTGAGAATGTATTGTGTCAACATCACAAGCAATATTTTCTCCTACTAAGCAACTGTACATGACCTCTTCGACCACGTCCTCCTCCTCCTCTCTCTGCTTGTCTTCCTCTACCTCTTGCTCTTTCTACCTCCATGCTTGCAGAGTTCTGAAAATGGCTGAACTGAGGCCTATTTATGTCTGGCTGATTGGTGTTGAGTTTTGTAAGTGCTTTCAGGTGTCTGTCTAGGTGTTTTCAATCACCCAATGTGTTTTCTATTTGGAAGAGATGTGTTGTCCCAATGGTACCATGAGATTTCATTTATGAACAAAATGTCTTATGCATGAAATAGTGTGTAGTGCACAGGAGCAAGTGTGTTGCAGAAGGAGCAAGTGTGTTGCAGAAATGGAACTAAAATGCAAAGCAGCACTTTTGTTTAAGCAATGTTACACTGTGTTTAAGGTATTGCACAAAAGCTTCAGGTTTTGTTACTTTGGTCTAAGCATGTGTCTATAGTGTTCAAGCAATGGGCAAAAACTCTAAAATGGCAGCAATATAATTTGACCTTGGCTGCACTTGGACTAGCCATTAGCTCATCAGTCCTATCAACTCTATTTCCATAAAAAGTTGTGTATATTTGTTATGCTAGTAATTACAGAAACACAGTTCCAATAGCTAAACAATGGCTTCGCAATTAGAACAAATGTTTGTTTGTATGTTTTTTCCAGGCTGTTCATGCATGGATGTATTGGTGCAGCCTTACATTAATGCACTCAACGGAACAACTACCACAATCCACTGCACTTTCACCTCCTGCTACAAGATTGACCTGACAAAGTTTGGCATGAACTGGACCTACCAAGAGACTCTCAATGACACAGAGGAGACGGTAAAACACTAAATATTACATAACAAATTCTACATTTGAAAGTGTTTTAAACTATCTCTCTTTTTATACAGTTTATGAATTATTCCCGGAAAAAAATGCAGCCACTGTCTACAAGCCGATTTGGAGAAAGGGTTGTGTTTACTGGAAATCTGGACAAGAACGACTTGTCAATCACTCTATCAGATGTTCAACCCGAGGATGAGGGGATCTACAACTGCTATGTGAAAAATCCCCCGGACCGCATCCAAGGACATGGTCGCATTCATTTAAAAGTTGTCACTGAACGTAAGATGCCTAACACTTTCTGCAGACACAGAATGGATTGTATTATCCTCTTTTGGTTGAAAGGCTTGATGGAAAGAAGCAGATTTACCTTACTGTTACCTTAGATTTAGGAACATGCGGTGGCCTCTCGTACGTACACTCCTCTGTAATCATCTGATCATAAACCTTACCTGTGCGTACCCAGGTGCTCTTGTCTGTTCACTGACATTTACATACACAAACACCCTCAACTAGCCATATTTGGTCACGCTACATCCTCAGCACGTGAGAGAATTCCCAGTTTTTTTTTTCAGAAAAAAAAAACTTATTGACAACGAGATCGAAACACAGGTTGCCGAAGCGCAAAAAGAAAAAAAGAAAAAAAAGTTGCAGACGTTATAAACACGGTCAGGACAGAGGAGAGATCTCCGTCAGAAAAAATAAATGGATTTGATAAATGGTTGAGTAACGGGCTTTCATTTACATGTAAGGAGTCTTTCTGTTTGGAGTTAGTTTCATTTGGAAATGTTGTCTGAGTGCAGCCTCATCCTCTTCTGAGCTACCATTCAGTCTGGTTGGGTGTATGATCAGGGAGCAGAGGAGGTTCTGGAGGGTTCTCAGTAAAATATGAACTGGAATCGGATTTGTGAGGTTTGTCTGTCGTGCCACAAAGGGTCCTAAATTACAGCATAGCAGAAGGATTTCCTAGTGCATTCCTTCCAGCGTTCACACTGTTAAATTCTCCAGTAACACGGATCAGCCATGATATAATGTCAGATTTCCGTCGGTCACTTGTATTTTATTGGTTTTTGCACCAAATATGCGCAAAGCCGTTTTTCCACGGACATAATTACATAAAGGGTAAATATGATTTGTGGACGAGGAACACGTGGATGATTGAGACTTTCAGCACTGTTGTTCTACCACTAGATGCTGTTCCTAGGCACGGTCAGGAACATTTCTACGAACAAGCACAAAAATGGTAAATGCCACACAATGCGTAGAATTGTTCCTATGCACGAAATACTCACAGCTCTGAATGTAAGTATGTTTGATAAATGAGGCCCCAGGACTACACACATCCTAAATTTCATTTGTAGGAAGGAATATAGGAATGTTTGTATGGATGTTTTGATAAATGTGGCACCAGATCTTTACAATGGGGAAACTAAACAACAACTACACAAGTGCATGGCACAACACAGGAGAGTAGGGCTGCTCGATTATGGCAAAAATAATAATCACGATTATCGTGACTGAAATTGAGATCACGATTATTTAGGACGAATTTTCAATTTATGTTGATTTTATTTGTTTTTATTCAGTCAAAAAATTGCTCAGGGCACAATCAGGACAAAAATAAATAAGAAACAAGGTGAACACTAAAATAACTCCTGATTCCCAGTGTAAAAAGACCAATATACTTATAGCTCATAGTTTATGACCCAAATACAGACCCAAATACCAATATCTTGCAAATACTGACAGCAAGAATTATACAGTGGCATTTATAACAAATAAATGTAAGTAAATTAATGTTCACAAAATGTTGCATAACATTCATTGAGTCGTGTCTAGGTGCTGTAGGAGAGTGCACTAGCACCGTGTCCTCAGGGAGGTTAGTTATTATTTATCAGCGTGAGGAACTTATTTCTAACTTATTTATAAACTATTTATTTACATGTCCTTCAGTTAATGTAATAATTGTCCCAACCACAGCTGCACCCCCCAACCCGGTCTCACGGAGCAAGCTGCACGTGTGTTTAGCACGCCGCACACGCACATTTAGCCGTTTTTAGTGGCTCAGGAGCCCGCAGGTGCGGTGTGTGTGTCACTCACTCTGGTTAATCCAACAGGGAGCCGGCTCTGAGAGCTGTCTTTAGCGACTGACACATCACTACATCATTCCCTTTCCTAATGTCCTGAAGAACGGTCCGGAGCGCAGGCGGAGTGTTTAGCTAACCTGCAGGAAATGTCAACGACAGTTATCCAGAAAGTAGCTAAGGGTTACCAGAGATGTTTCTGAGGTGTTCACTAGGTACTTTTAAGTTAAAAAGTCAAGAAGGGGATCTGAGAAGCTGTTAGAAATAGCGTCAAAGTCGCTAAGTTGGCAACACTGTGGGAGGAGCGCTTCATTTGCAACTCAGGGCAGCGCAAGCGGGAGGAGCAAATAATCGGCTTGTTTTGTTTTTTATAATCGTTCAAAACTCAGATCGTAATCGTGATTAAAATTCGATTAATTGAGCAGCCCTACAGGAGAGCCACCTCTTCAGGTCAGCTGATGTTAGATTTCACCTTTCCAGTATCTATAATGCAGCTTTGAATCTCATTCCTAAGCAGTTTCAGTCTAGGTCACAATTTCCTGCATCTAATCAACACAACGACTCCCTCTCAATAGAGGCTAACAACTTAGAGAGTAGGGGTACCTAGAGTAGTTTTGCCCAATAAACAACAATAGACAACTACAGCTTATAAACTTTACTTTCCCATATTCTGGGTAGAATTGAAAAAGCTCCTCACATGAGAAGCAAAATGTCTTCAAGTAAGCAAATAATTCCAGTTGTCTTCATTTGAATATCTTTTGAATTACCATGACTTGGATGACTGAGAACCTTCACCAGCATAAAGCTTGGTTTATGCTTGACACATTCACTTTCCGCGCGGTGATGCGGCTCGCGGCTGGAACGTGCTTCACAACTCGCAGCGTTTATGGTTCATGCGGCTTGTCTCTGCGGTGAGCCAATATTCTCCCAAACTGAACGGGGCAGCATGGAGCTCTACGGCATGCATCCAACACTACACCATAGTAGAAGTAGAAATTACTGTTTACAACACGGCATTTCAGCATTTTTAACAGCGTCCTCGTCTTTTCCGACAGTGCGAGCTATTTCTCTCCCAGAATTATTAACAACATGTTGATCACGGTGATCTTTGAGAGCTGAATCATACAAATGTCTGTATTTACGAACCTCTGCCATACTAGTTCTTGCCGGTCCGCCATGTTTTTCCGCGTCCGACCGTCCGCGTGGTTAGAAAATTTCTTAGGTGTGCGTTGCGGAAATTTTGGGCCATGCGGAGATGCGGTGGAGGGGCGTGGTTGTTAAAATGACGCAAAATGACGCAACTTTTCCGCGCGGAGCCGTGTGGACCTCGCTGACGCGTCAAACATAAACCAACCTTAAGTGGACATTGCAGCCAAATCAAAACAGACTCCCTCTAGTGGGTGGTTGCAGTATATATTTTAGGTCATGTCCCCTACACCTAAATATTTTTTTCTGACTCAAAATACTAAATCTTGAATAATTTTTCCCAGGTGCTATTGTACCTTGCTGTTGTGTTGTATAATAAAGGAACACAGTTTAGTCATACAACGTTTAACTGAAATTAGTTTTTTGATGCCATAAAAACTTTGCGTGACCAGGCAGACCTGGGAACTCTCCTAATCAAATGACCCCACCCCCTAGAATTCTAACGGAGTCAATCAGCACTGAGCAGCGTACGTCACACACCGCAACGCTCAGTTTCTCATAAACAATGAAGACTGATTCGGAGTTTGGTACACCTCATTTCTCTGTTCTAAATGACTTGGATATTTCTTTAAAACCACAACAAGTAGAAGCGCTAAAAGCCTTTCTTCAAAGGACAAATGTTTGCGCTCTCACCAGATGCCATTTTTGACTACAGCTAAAAAACTACAGCGTCACAGCCGTCTCACTTCGCTCATACGGCGTCTGAAGCGGCTCTTTCCTCAATTCTAAATGACATGAACATGTCTTTAAAACCACAAGAAGAGTGAAAATTGCTTCTTCTAAACAAAGGTGTTTTTCACTTTCACTACAGCTAAAAACTACAGCGTCGCACGTTACAGTCGGCCTTTCTGCCTTTTTTTTCTGATTGGTTATTTTTGAGCTGGCTAGTCCCGCCCCTCAAGTGCTTTTCTGCCTGTGAGTAACCAGACTAGTTATCTGTGTAGAATTAAATAGATGACGAGTCTGGAACTCTAGTCCCCATACACTGTGTGCTCCTGAGATCCTCATCTATGCCCCAGACAAGCTGGTTCCCAAAGTCAGAGACTCTCTTGGTCAGCTTGCTTCCCACACCAAACCTTCCGTCAGGAATCTTGGTGTGACCCTTGACCCAGCTCTCACCCTGGATTCTCATGTCAGTTCTCTTGTTCGCTCTTCCTTCTTCCTTCTCAGGAACATTGCTAAGCTGAGTCCCATTCTGTCCCGCTCTGAACTTGAGACAGTTCTCCACACCTTCATCTCCTCAATCTTAGACTACTGTAACTCTCTTTTCACGTGTCTGAACAGAACCTCCCTGAACCGTCTACAGGTGGTTCAGAATGCCTGTGCTCGGCTTCTGACCAAGTCCTCCAAACACACCCACATCACCCCGCTTCTCCTCCAGCTTCACTGGCTGTCAGTCAACTTCAGTGTTCATTTCAAGATCCTGGTTCTGGTCTTTAGGGCCTTACATGGACAAGCACCATCATACGTTGGTGATCTTCTCAGTCCTTACACCCCCAGCAGGTCCCTGAGGTCCATTGACCAAAGCCTACTGGTTGTGCAACACATTTGCTGCTGTGGTGCACAGACTCTGGAACTCTCTCCCCCTGAGCCTGAGATCAGAGGACTTGGTGGTCTCCTTTAAAAAGCAGCTGAAGACACTTGTTCAGGGTGGATTTGGTGTTACCTTCATCACCACGCTCTCCTTATTCTGCTCTCCCTACCTATTCCACCTTCCTCAGTATCCACTGATTTCCCTCTTTCCTATTAATCTCTCTTTCTTTCTTTACATTTAAAAATCACAATAGTCTATTTTTGCTTATTTTAAACATTATGAATCAATTTCTACATTTTTTTTTATATTTAACCCTCCCACTGTCCTAATGGGTGTGACCCCGCGAAGAAAGTTGACCATTGAGCAGGGTTGATGGTTTATCCCTTGGGTCCATGTGGCAGGGGTGAGGAGTGAGCACCACCTCACCTCTGCCACATGGACCTCAAGTGATTTACCATCAATCCTGCTCAATGGTCAACTTTCCTCGTGGGGTCACCCATAAAGACAGTGGGAAGGTAAAAAATTGTTTGTGTTTGTGGAGCGCCTCGTGAAATTTATCTTGAGAGGCACTATAGAAAAGATCATTTCTTCTTCTTCATCTTCTTCTCTTACAGCAAAAAAATCCAGAATGACAGCATCTTTATTTCATGGCTTCACTTTGGTGCATAACAGGACAGAGACGTGTCTTTATGTAGGTTAAAGCTTCTTTCTGGAGTATTTCTCTTATCCGATGGCACCATCTAGTGGCTGACAAGCATATCACACAAAACTCTGGTGCTCCATTTTTTTAAGATGGCGACTTCACGTTTCTGTTCATAAATGTGCTTCTGTAGCCAACAAACAGAGCTAAAACACATTGTTTTACGAGTATTATTTTCCTGTCATGTTTTCGTATATTTATATTTCAGAGACTTACTTGTCCGTGAAAAGTTAATCGACTCTGCATCAGCCGAGGTGTTTCTTAAATTTGAAGCAAATAAGCAGTAGTCTAACGCTATTGGTTAGTTCTGCTCGGCACTCAGTTTCCTATTGCACAGAGCTCTGTGGGGCAGGGGGCGTGCTTTGCAAAAATAAATACAAAATACGTGTCTCTTACATTTGTTCACAGTACACGATGAGACAATTGCTTTTACGGATTTCTGACGAATCATAAATCATTTCTGAAAGGGGAAAACTCTGCAAAGCAGCTTTAAATTAACAGTCATATCTGAAATGTGCAGGCTGGCATTTGGGTAAAAGGTAACCGTAAAAAGTTTGCCCAGCATCAACTACATCTCATTGATCACATACTTTGTGTGTGACTGTGTCTTGTTTTCTAGGTGTATGAACTTCTCACATCTTACCCTTTCACACACACACACGCACGCACGCACGCACGCACGCACGCACACACACACACACACACACACACACACACACACACACACAGACAGACCAGCACAAACACTCATTTGAGACAGGCTAACTCAGCAGCACTTTCCTTCTCCTCTCTCTTTAATCAGCTCAGCAGAGCTTTTAGCCAGCATTGCACTTATCTCCAAAATAGTTAACCCCTTCCTTTCCACTCCTCAGTTCCACCTCCTAGAGATTCAACCATTGCAGTTGCTATTGGGGCATCTGTGGGTGGAGCACTGGCTCTGCTGATCCTTTCAATGGTGGTGGTGAAGTGTCTTCGCCGACACCAGAAACAAGAACTGGTTTCAGAGGAAAAGATGGAGGAGGAGGGGAAACTGGAGCCTGAAGCTGTTGCAGAAGAGGGAACCAAGTAAGAACCCATACCATAAAGAACGTCAACTTCAACCATCTCTGGTAGCAACATGTAGCTAATGGTAGGCCACTCTTGGTTGTGGTTCACCATTTCTCTGTAGCATTTACTCTGGAACGTACCACTCATAAGCAACAAAGCATTTTAGCTGTGGCAGACACCACTCAATGCCATACCAAGACATTTGCATATTATGTTGTTTTATTAAATAATATTCTGTAATTCAATAATGGTTTTGGTCTTTGAGCCTTTTTCAAATGCAATGTTTATAGTTTCTCTGTACAAAAAATTGTGCAAACAAATTTAACCCCAGTCTGTTTAAAGCTTACTTGACATGTTGTGTTGCCTATCTTTCTTCTATAGACTACCATAGTTGGATCTTAACTGGTTCCTCTGGAGCTTCAACATCCAACACTTCATCTGGTAAATTCCTACTACTGTCAGATGGACTATAATGTGCATAAAATGTTGCAGCAGTGATCGATCGATCTATCTATCTATCTATCTATCTATCTATCTATCTATCTATCTATCTATCTATCTATCTATCTATCTATCTATCTATCTATCTGTCTATCTGTCTGTCTGTCTGTCTGTCTGTCTGTCTGTCTGTCTGTCTGTCTGTCAAACTGTGTGTGTGTGTGTGTGTGTGTGTGTGTTTATGTGTAATTTGTTTATTGGGCATTTCATTCAAAAGACAAAAAATAATTGTTTAGAATATTTTGGAATGTCTAGGATGAGTACATCAGTGTTATGTTCATTAGGGATGAGCCGGATACTCGTCGAGTATCCGGTACGGATAAAGCATTTTTGACAAATACGAGCATGACACGAGTAAAACTCATAAATATCTGTAATCGTGCCGAAGGAAAATCCTCATTGGGTAACTGACTGTCTTCACGCTCTGTGATTGGCCAGTCACATAAAGCGCCCACCCCTCCCTACACGTAAAACTCTCTAGCCGGCCGGGAGCGCAGTCCTTCCGGCTCATCCACGCACACACACATACAGTAACAGATCTCGCTGTGATTGCTTCACTGTTGCTCACGTTTCTTCAGTTTTCCCCAGGTTTTCTTCAGCTCGCCTCTTTTTCGGTTGAATATTTAAAGTTACATTTTTCGTAACTTACATGGTGCATTTGACAAGACAGAGCTGACGTGCTGCATCAGTCACATCCGCTCCGGTCGGTTTTTTTATTTATTTTTTTACTCCCTCTCTCTCCCTCTCACCCTCTCTATCTCTTTCAGACACACACACCTCAATCCACATTGTTTTGTTTAACTTTGTGTGGGGCAAAATGCCAAGAACATTAAGAAAAAAAAACAGTTTAATCAAATTAAAATTAAAAATTATATATAAAGTTGTGTCTGGTTCTAGCATTTCATATTTCCTAGTTCCTACTGCATGAGTTCAGATGTATTAATCCATGCACTTAAATATTAATGTTCTGATTTTATTGAAACACTTGTTCTGAAATAGTTCCTTTACTATTGTGATCAAAAATATTTAATCTCAATTCTGAGGTTGCTCTGTAAATAGTTTTCAAATAAACAATACACATAGCAACTTCTGATCAATCCATATCAATTTCAGACTTAAAATAATATATTGATGTAAACAACACCCACTTCGGGTAAAATCACGCCCACTTCCGGGTTATGCCACGCCCATTCCGAGTACAGATACAGATCATTTAGTTGGTTGAACAGATACAGATACAGATAGTGGTGTTGTTGGGGTTATTAGGAGCGAACAATTAGTAAGCTTCAACTTACTTTTGGATTCTTCAATAAATTCTGTAAATATGTAAATATTTACTGATTTATTAATTAATTAAGATATTCTTAGATATACGGGGCACCATTCCCCTTTAACCGGGGAAAAATTGAATCCAAAACTCTTATCAGTCTTTCTTGAAGTTCGTAGAATCCTCGGAGCAGAGACTTCTCTTCGACACAACAAAGCTACTGGAGACGAAAATCTGAATTTTATAACGTTTAATTAACAATTTGTCAAATGAATAAACAGTGGCATAAATGAATAATAACCATGTGATATAATAAAAGGATGTATATTCAAAATAATGTTCAAGGTGTTTGTGTGGTGTGTGTGAGTGAGTGTGTGTGTGTGTGTGAGATGAATGGGTCTTTGTTTCCCCAGAGTAGGTGGGGGGAGTGAGCTGTGAGTGTGTGTGGGGCTCTTCCCCTCCCCTCGCATTCAACAGGAGACCTGGATGTGTAAAGTTTTCTACTTTCCCGAACACTTAGTGGCTTAGAATCACAGTAAAACTTAACTCAAACACTTCAAAAGTTAACAAACAACAAAAGGTCACTTGTAAATTATTTAATCTAAAAGGAGTCGGCAGCCTGGCCAGAGCTGACGACTAAAGATATTAGCGATGATCAATAAGCAGTTTATTCTTTCAAAATGACCCGAAGGACGAATTGGGAGCGAAAGAGGAAAACACGAAGCTACTTTTTAAGCAATAGCGCGGTTTTATTGCTTATTCTGGACTATAGAGGAAACGGGAGAAGAAAAGGAGAGAGAAAAAAATGAGTTTTCTGATCACCAGATGAGCAGCAACAAGGCGTCCCAGCTGTTTGATTTGACGGTTCTCCGTTTTCTCCGCAGTTTTCAGCGTCATCCGTCGGTTTAATGCTTTCTCCGTTGTTTGGCTCCACGAGTGTTTCTCCACGGCTGGACACAAAGAGAACGAAGTTTCTTTTGTGCTGAGTTTGACAACTTACAGCGTCTCTGAGAGCTGAATGGAGCTCCGCTCGTTCCCAGTCAGGTCCCGATGGAGTTGAGTGTAGTTTCCAGCGGTTGCGTGGGCTCAACTTGGCACTTAGAGCTTCCGCGTGCTCAAGTTGACGGAGCGTTCGACAAGCGTGTCCTTACCGCCAGGTATCCTGGGCAAAAGAACGAGGTTTCTTTGTCTCTGCTGAAGATTTATGGTCTTAGTTCGCGGGAAAAGCTCCACGGCTTCCCGCACATGCGCAGAACGTGTTTCTGGTACTAGGCGGTGACATCACCCAATGCTTCAGTGTGCAAAGCATCATGGGAAATGAAGTTTCTTGGCGCTGATGTGATTATTTGCTTTTCAGAGCAATTTAAGCACAGTCATTTTGGAGAAAATCACTGCATAGTAATTTCCTCATGAGGTCAGACCCTCAACATTGTACTCGCTCATCCCTAATGTTCATTAAATAATATTTGTCCCTAGCATGTGATTGTAACTTTTAACTTTAACATATACCAAAATAAGGGATGAATACTAATATCCAAAACTGTAAATACTTTAGCTGTGGAAAAATGGAAGTCCATTTTATTTAAAATTTTGTTTTTTTAAGTCAGGACATAAGAAGCTCAAGTTTATCCATGATCTAAACCTTTTCAAAAATAGCAGGAAGTTCTTCACAAATTCCACCATGTTTTTTTTAACAAACACCAAAATTAGGCCAAAACTAAATGCACACATTGAGTTGCAGTGTTCATAGGATTTAAGAATTTAAGTAGCAGTCAAGTATTACTGATCAAAAGTACTACTTAACGGATCATCATCAGTGTGACTATACAGAAGTAGGAAGTCTGGAGCATACATGTGTGTGTTAACAGCAAAGAGGAAAGAAACTAAAGAGAAATGTTCTCATGAGGAAAATTGGCATAACTCTTGTTGTTCGTGTAATATAAAGAAGAATACAAACAAAACACACACTTGTGTGTAATTTATATAGTGTGTAATGTTGTTGTTTTCTCTTTTTTTTACAGACATGTCCACTTGCTCTCAGAGAAACTTTAGAAGCCACTGCTTAAGTCTTTGACCAGCTGCATCAACTATTTGAATGTGTATGTGTATCTAGTGCTTACAAGTGGGATTTATTGTGTTTGAGGACTAATTGCATGTGTGTGTGTGTGTGTGTGTGTGTGTGTGTGTGTGTGTGTGTGTGTGTGTGTGTGTGTGTGTGTGTGTGTGTGCGCGCATTTTTTTAAGTTAGCCTCTAAAATATGTTTATTTCATGTAACATGTCAGGGACTTAAAACTATAAACTGGTTTATCTACGTATCCAAGTCAACCCAATGTCACTTTCAGAGCATTCGCTGTGGCAGGTTAGGGCTAAAAACTTAATTCCACTTTAAACTTTGATTCTAACCCCTTCTTTCCATAAGACGAAAAAGCGGCGTGTAACATAATAGCGGTATTTTACCCACAAGCTCATTCCAAAGTAGGAGCGTTTCAGATGTGAAATGGGAGCAAAAGTGTTCCACACAGCTGATCCCGTGAGGTCACAAAATCATGGGAGATTTGCAAAGCCATGCGTGACTTCAGATGTCCACGCAGTAGCAAGCAAGGAGAAAGACAGTGGCATGTCGCCAAAAGGGTCAATGGTTTATTTTCAGTTTTTCATTGGCCAGATCTAAATTGTGGATTTTGACTTGTTTTGTAAGAGTTGTGTGTGAAAAATAGACTCAAAACGTAATGATTACATCCCTTCGCTTCTGGGGAAAGGAACTTGTCCATTATACCAGCGGTCAATTGCTGCGTAGTTCGTTTCGCTGCCGTTCCATGACACTTTCACGTCTGGTGGAAAGAAGGGGTAACAACTCAACAAAGGCAGCAAAAAAAACATTGTTTGCCCTTACTTTATTCATTACATGAATCTATTTTAAACTAAAGAAAACAGAATGTATAACTTAAACTAAACATCACTACAAAGCCGAGAGGTTGCTTAACTACCTGCGATACATTTTTAAAATATTATGGTTTGCATATTGTCCTAAAGCCATTTCCAATGACTGTCCACAGCTAGTTGTTGTCAGAACGATATCAGTTATCCAGAGACTCAGCCAAAATATGTTTACATGTGTCAGTAATGTCTACATGGGTCTCAAACTGAGATTATTCTCAAACATTCCTATCAATTTTGGACTTTTGACAAATCAGCTATCCCTTTTAAGCTGACTGTGTTTTCAGGCAGATGTTGTGATTTGTCAAAATGGGAAAAGCACAAATGTAGCTATGATCACATTTAGAACACCTCAACTCTGTTTAAACAGGAAGCCAATGTTCACTTTTAGACCTTTGACCATTGTTTCAGTGTCCTGTTTTTTATAAGGACACATACTGGCTACTTTACCAGGTACATCTGTTTTGTTGTTTGTTGGCACAAATTTCTAATCAGCGAATCACATGGTGGCAATTGTCTAGAACTAAACTTGCTAAAGTTCAAACTAAGCATCAAAATGCAGAAAGAAGGAGAGTTAAGTTACTTTGACTGTGGCGGCTGTTGGTGAAAGATGGGCTGGTCTGATTGTTTCAGAAACTACTGATCTTGATTTTCATCCACTACTATATCAAGTGTTTAAAGAGAATGGTCTGAAAAAGGGGAACATTTGGTAACATCCAACATTTGGTAGCTGCTTGCCAATGCCTTGTTGATATCAGAGGTCAATGGAGAACGAGTAGACTGGTCACGATATTAAGGTAACAGAAACTCAGTAACACTCATTAAACCCAATGCTTACAAGATATCATCTCTCAACCCCAAAACACATTGACCCCAGAAGCAGATGCCACTGGTGTTCGCTACGAACTAGCAACAATTCACACAGACTCAACAAAACTGGGTAACAATAGCTTAGAAAAATGTGTTATGTTCTCAGCTGCAACATTCAGGTGGTCATTCAGAATTTGGTGTCAACACCATGAAAGCATGGATCCATCCTGCCATGTATCAGTGCTTTAGGCTTCTGTTGGTAGTGTAATAGAGTGAGGGAGATGATCTTGGTCTACTTTGGACATCTCAGAACCACCTGAGCCTGGTTATAAACACCACAGCTTACCTAAGTATTGTTGGTGACAATGTATATCCATTTATGACCACAGTGGACCTATCTTATGATGGCTACGTCCAGCAGAATAATGCTCCATGTCACAATTCTCAGATCATCTCCAACTGATTTCTACAACATGAAAATTAGATCACTAAACTCCGACAGCCTCCATAAAGGGAAGTTTCTTTGTTGAATCTGCTTACATTATTGAGGCAGTTCTTAGGGCAAAAGGGGTCAAACTCATACTAGGAAGTAGGGATGTAAGAAAATATTGATGAGGCAATATAATGCGATCTTTTTTCCTGCATTATTATATCAATATTTAAAAGCCGTGTATTGAAATTTTAGAAGAATTTACTTGCAAACATTTGTGTATTTTCTTTTCTTTTGGTGCAATTCAAACGCCAACCGCTAGTTAGCAGCAGTGTACAATAATAATAATAATAAAGTGAGAAGGAACACAGTACACAATAAAAATACAGATAAAACAACTAAAGGACAAGTAACCAGAATAAAACAGAATAAAATAGATGAAATCAAAAACAGTAAGCGGTTCGAAACAAATGGGTTTTGAGTGTGGTTTTGAAGAGGTTGAAGCTATCGGTGTTTCTAATGTCAGGAGGGAGAGAGATCCAGAGACGGGGAGCAGAGCAGCTGAAAGCCCTACTACCCATGGTGCTGAGGTGGAATGAGGGAATTACCAGATGGATGGAGGAGGAAGATCTGAGAGAACGGCAGGGTGTAGCAATGGTAATGAGGCTGGCAATGTATGGAGGGGATATGGAATGGATGGCTTTGAATGTATGGAGTAGAATTTAGAAAATGGATCTGAATTTTATGGGAAGCCAATGAAGCTGCTGGAGGGCCAGGGTGATGTGGTGGAAAATGTCAGTTCTAATAATACATGCTGCTGAATTCTGAACAAGTTGGAGTTTGAGTGAGTTTGCTAGGGAGACCATACAGAAGTGAATTACAGTAATCAAGGTGGGAGGTAACAAGGCTATTGACTAGGATGGCTGCAGCGTTAGACGTAAGGGAAGGGCGGAGACGATTTATGGATCAGAGGTGAAAGTGTGCTGACCGAGTTATGTTATTGATATGAGCCTGAAACGAGAGAGAGCTGTCGAGGATGACACCCAGACTCTTAACCTGAGGGGTGGGGGTAACCGTGGTGTTGTCAATGGTTATGGAGAAGCTGTCAATTTTGGCAATGCTGGACTTCGCACCGACCAGGAGAAGTTCAGTTTTAC